GGAACACAAGCTCTTCCCCCTGTGATCCCTCACGAGGGTACTAAGCTGGGGGCACCGTCTCAGAGATGGGGCATGGGGTGGTCGTTCCAAACACACACGCACACACGCACCGGCAGCGAGACTCAGGGAAAAAGCAAAGCTCGGCTTATTCCCTTGAGGCTGCACAGACTCAGTCATTATCCCCTTGGCGTGTAGGGGCAGTGCCTTTTCGTGATGAGAGATGCAAAGACTTCCACGGATGGAAGAGGACGAAAACGGGCGCTGGGGTGCCTGGACACAAACTTCACTGCGTTTTCTGTAGTCGAATTTGGCTAGCCGTCGTTTGAGCGATTTGGTCTCGAGATGCTCCGGGAGATTTTTGGCTCTGGATGGCTTTGTAGGGCGAGCGTCTGGAAGGCTTTCGAGCAGAATGTTAATGGAATTCTTGAGGATACGATGGCCGCATGCCAGGGAGCGAGTGGGGAGGTTCTGAAGGTGCGCACGGCAAGCCGTGGGATGCGCAAAGGTTCGCCACAGTATTGCCATGGAAACTTTTGACTCTCGCCTACGCCGTACGTGTCGCGCGAGCGTAGGCCCGACCCTCCCTCAGGCCCCTACGCTCGCCCAGCGTTGGCGCGAGTGCTGGCCCTTCGCTTGCCCAGCGTCCCAGTGCTCGAGCGCTGGCACGAACGCTGGCGGGACCCCGCCATCCCCCATCTCTCTAGTACTACCGCCAGCTAACATATACGCTTCTAAAGGCCATCTTGGCCTCCCAAGCCATCTCATAGGCCACCTGATCAGCCTCTTATGACTGTCCTATAGACATCTGTCGGAGCCGCTTTACAAACCTCTTACGGCCACCTTATAAGCTTTCTTATGGCCATCTTATAGGCCACCCCCTTAGGACAGATCAGAATAGCTGGGCCCAGCAGGAAAGCTTCTCCAGAGGAAGCTTTCGTCATAAAATGTCATGTTTGTTGCTTTTTTTGTTCTACTCTTGTTCTGCTCTTCAGGATATTCAGCGTCTCAGCGCACCTCTCTGCCTTCTTCCTCTTCAACTCCGCTTCCCTAGACAGGCACCACGAAGCTCGCTACTTTAGATGACCTGTGTCTTTCTCCCGCCTTCTCGCTTCGGCTTCCTCTTGGGCAACAAGGTCCATGTACTTTTGCGCCTGAGGCTGAATGCTTCAGGCCCTTCTAAGCTGTGTCACTTCTTCTTGCGCACGCCTCCTCGCAGAATTCCTGAAACTTGCGCTTCGCATGCAAAGCTGTGGCATGAACATGTCCCTTGCTGCTGCAGTCCGTCCTGCGCCTTTTGGAAGGTTCTGCGCATGCTGTCCTGGCAGCTAAGGGGGTCATCTGCTAGGACAACCAGGGATGAGCAGCTTGCCTCAGTCTCCTGCTTCGGCGAGGCGTCATTTTTTGCCTTGGGCCCGTCAATCCATCGGGGTGCGGAGCTGCCACATCCGGCCAGGAGCCTCCTTCCCCAGCAGGTCGTCAAGGAGCTGCGTCACTCCCAAGGAAAACTCCCTTGCACCAGAGCGCAGCAGATCAATTGTCAATACCGCTTTCAAATTGCACCGTCTTCTGATACTTGCTGCCAGGTGACTCGTTTGACATTGGCAGCAAAGTGGGACTGCCCTACTCTGAATCAATCTCTGAGTTATGTCTTGCAGATGAAAAAGGGAGCCATATGAGGTCAGGCATGATGACATTGGAGACGCCGTGGTGAAGGATCTTCTGCACTTAACATACAGGCACGGGAATGCGCCATGTTTCTGTCACGCCTTGTGTAGTTCAAAGCTTTGAGCCATGAGAACGGTCAACGTCAAGGGAGGCTCACAACCAGCAGCCAACAACAATGCACCTGAATTTTCCTTCCTTCCCTGAGCACAGGGCGGAGCTCTGGGTCCTACGATGCCATAAGCACGGCTTCATGTTTCGCAGCATTCAAGTCCTTTGCATTTTGAGGTGTCCTGGCGGGTGACGACTGGCATACCATAAAGCCACTGGTTGTCCCAGTACCTCGGCACAAGATTCCAACCCCTGGATGCTTTGTGCTCTCAACGTCCTTGCCACATTGGTTAAAGTCCTAACCCTAGGCCCCTACCTGTTTCCCGGGTCCTCACATATCCTGACTACAAGCCCTTGATTGGGTTCGCAGGAAAGCGTATTTAACGGAATAACCCGAGATTAAGGGCCTAGCTTGCTTTCAGAACAGAAGAACTCTTGTAGTTGGAACGGTAGGGTCACAAAATGGCCTGGCCAGGCTTCGTTACTTTCCACTTCCTTCAGCTTCCACTTACACTGATATCGGTTCTACTGCTACCTGTACCTCTGCTCCACCACTCCTCATCCTCATCCTCCTCGTCCTCCACCAGCACCACCACCCAGCCCAAACTGCTCTTTTGGCCAGACAGGCTTTGTACAGGACATCCTCACGCCTGCAAATTGCGACTCATGCGCTAACAGAGCTCGGAGCGGGGCTGTCCCAACAGACCACCCGGCTCAATGGCTTGCACCAGAAGAGAGTACTTGCCGGCCTGCAGGGCAGGTGGCATCCTCGAATCTAGCCCAAGCAGCAATCTGATGTCGATCATCACTCCCATCATCATCATCATCATCATCATGATCATCATCAGCAGCTTCAGCAGCATCATTATCATCATTCCCATTGAAAATACTGATAGAATGAGCCGGAGAACTGACAGTATTGAAAAAGCGTCGCACATGAATTGATCCTGAAGGCAGTGAGGACGTACTGAAAGATCACTGTTTCATGGTCCATGCAGCAACCGATCCCTGTCGCGCTCGGCGACCCATTAATGACATCACCATGGCAAAGGCAAGGGATGATGAGACAACCTCGCCTTGCGAAGTGTGTAGGGGAATCGATAGAGGCCGCTGCTCTGATCCACAGAGTGGATGCAGCAAATTGGCCTCCGCACAATTCCAATGCAACATTTGCAAGTCTCATGCATGTAATGAAAACTCGCTTTGGTTTTTGCTCTTCGTACACTCTTTAATGCCTGCCCTGTTTCGGCTTAGTTTTGATTGACTTCCTGCCTACATACTGGTGCGGCTTGGGATTCTGAAGCTTAAGCTTCAGGTTTGGGCAGATGGCAGGTTTAGAGCTGCACGCTCTCAGGTTGGATCAGGGTTCTAGATGCAAGGGAGCACGAAGCAGACCCTTGAATCTTCCGCCCTCAAACGTATGAAGCACTGATCCCTGAGAACCCAAGCCCTGCATGTTCTTCACCTCCAAGCCCAAACCGTGCCTAGCATCCAAATTCCCGAGCCTCATCATCTAAGATCCCACACCCAAAGCGTCCCAGGACCAACCCGACACCTAATAGGGAAAAACAGCGAGACATGTCTCAGCTCCCAGCTCTCCAAGAACGTCAGGCGAGAAGTCAGGGTGCGGCGCTGCCACCCGCACACAGATCTGGGGACAGCAACTCAAGATCCCATTTCAGCATCTTTCAAGCAAGATGGCTTCCTCCGACAAAATTCGAGCATCTGGGTACCCAACAGTTCCAGTAGAGTCCAACTCGCAGACATCATGCACGGATAAAATGAAGCGACGGCCGCCGACCTGTGCGGAACCGCTGCTCATGCAGCAACGCAGAGCACATAAGTAGCCATGAAGTGCACACCTCAAACTGCAAGCATGTTCAAACACTGGCCCATCCGAGCAGCTGGCAGACTCGTCCAGCTGCGTCACAGGATCTACTGATCGAATTCTTGCGGTGTACCTTGGAAAGGCTGCCCACTGCGACAGGCAAACCTGGCCTGAGCCATTTACCAGACATTCTCAACCACTGCTTGGGATCCAGCTCGACGTCCGCACCTAATTGCTTCACAGCTCTCCCAGAAGGACTCATCTTGCGAGCGGCCAAGGCGCTGAGTGACACCGGGATGCTTTCTGGTCTAGCTTCGTGGGCAGCCATGAGGTCTGAAATCCTGCCGAGCTCCATATCCATCGCAATTCCTTCTGCTCGGTGGCTTTTTGTGCCCTGGCTCCCAGCCTCACAGATGCCTCTGTGTAACTGCTAAATCCTTCAGGGATCAGACTCTGGCTGCCAGATGTAAAGGCTGGCTGAACTCCCTGCCTACGCGGTTCTCCGCATAGACGCGAAAATTATACCTGAGCATGTTATGCAGTTGATTGCAGTTGTGCCTGGCAGCCCCCATGGTCAGTGAGCCGGACGTTAGAGAAGCGTGGAGGCCCGTGGCGGTGAAGGTGAGCTTGGACGGCTGGTTGGTGCCTGCGCTCTATCCAGTAAACTACGTGGAAGTGAAGGAGGAGCAGAGGTGCCGCCGGCCGTCGTATATCCGCTCCCAACTTCCATCACCGTTGGCCTGGTCACAAGACAAACCACACATCCCCTTACAACACCCTTTGCTCAATCAAAGACTGACGGGCCTCCATGTCAACGTGGTATCCTAGAATCGGTGAGCCACCGCTCAGCGGCACGGGCCAGCCAAGCCGGATGTTGTCGGCGCCGACCTGCATCCCGTTTGGTCACCAGACCCCCGGAGCTTCAGATGCCCTGGAAATCATTCGCAGCCTTCTCCAGCGTCGGCGTAAGCCCTTGCCATTCGGGGACCCCCGCGCTGATCTGGGCACGTCAGTTGGTAAAGCAAGGAATCCAACTATCAGTGCCCTATCACGGAAACTGGAAGTAGCACCTGATAATGCCTCTATGCAATGTAGTGTTGACCGCTGCAATACTGGATAACTGGCTACAGGAAGGGTCGCTACAAGCCTCACATCACACGAATTCTGCAGGATCAGGAGTCTTCATCAGGGCAGCTTGAAGCCCTCGAACTGTGTAGAGAAGAGAGATCGCAATGACTGAGACACCAGGCCAGTCGCTTGGGTATAACTGGGGAATTCTCACGGCTTTTGTTGGCACCTGCAACCTGCATGCCCTGAAAGAACATCACGCAGCGGTTCTCCGACTCAACTCCACTACTCGGCCCGGCATGGACACCAAATGGATGGCTGGGCGGAGCATCTGCCCCAGCTCAAACCTCTGAGAGCGCTGTTCGTCGCATCAACAAGATGTGCAGCACGTTCTGCTCACACGTTGCGCACATTCAGCTCGCCTGCCTTGGTCCCACAAAGCCTTTGCACGGTGTCTCTGCGTTTGACAGCGCAGGTGGCAAACAAGTCGACCACAAGAAAGCATGAAACCAAGAATTACAATACTGGGTGTGCATGCCGTGACAACGCATCTCTCCTACCGTCATGCAGGCGAAGCCTTGCGGGACCATGGGCATCCGCCCTTGTGCAAACCATTCGATTGGGACCACATATTAGCCAATGGTAGCCACAAACCGATCCTTGCACTTTGCCAATCAGGCATAGCCTAGGCAGCTTCAGTCAGCCAAACGGAAACGTGAAAGCTTACACTGCGCAATAGCCCTTGCCTCGTTTCTGAAAACCCTGACTTAAAAATATCCTAGCCAAATGAAAATCACATCAACCAGTGTTCATCGAACGGCCATCTGATCCTTTGTGTGCTTCCTTCGCCATGCATGGCGCCCTGCATGGGACGTTCACAAGTCTAGAAATTTGAGTTTCAGAGCAGAGGGGCCGGGGTGCTTTACACTCGAAGTTGTGGACAAGCCGAGGGTGTAGGGCTGACAAGCTCTCTCAGGCTGATGCGTAGTTGACAATCTCACTGCGGCCGCCTGCCAACCCAGCGGCCTCGAAAGCTCATGTGACACGAACTGCCTTGCATTGCCCTCTCTGCACGTCCCTCTGTGCAACTGAGGTGACCACATTGATGCCGCGAGCCTGAAACTGATAATTACGGTCCACTAGCAGACCTTGGAGTGCATGGTGCTTCTGAAAAAACTGCATACCACAGGAAATCATTTCTCGCAGATTTGAGGGAATCGTGTTGCAACCGGCCAAGTCGAACACCTTGTACTCGGACGGACACTTCGCAGTCACCCCGATACACCTGCAGCACTGATTGCAGAGACGCGCAGCCACGCATGGAGGACACATCGCCCTCGGCTCCTCAAAGCGCGGCTCATCCCCGACACCACTGTCGCGGAAAAGCTCGCACCTGGGTCACGAATCTTGGCAATCCGTTCACTGTCTTCAACCACTCGTGCAGCTTGGAAGACTCAAACGCTTCAGCTGGAGCAGGCAGGTAGAGTGTGATCTCACCTGAGATGGTCATAGCTTCATTCATTCAGCCAACCCACACCTTCCCAGTCCTGCGCCTGCGAGCGAGCTGACTCGCTGGGGGGCTATCCCGGTGCCGATTGCCGCCACCCCTTCCTGGGAAAAATCACAATCGCGGCTTGCACTTGGCATATCAAAGCAGAGGGATCCTGCAGCGATAGCAGCAAGGCCAGTGGAAGCCAGCGCACGCTAGCAAACGCCTGAGCGCGATTGGAGTAGGCTGCAGCGGGTGCACATTGGGATAGGGTGCGCGCTGGGGCCGTTCTGGTCAGAGAGGGCGAGAAGGCCCAACATCTTCCCATCGTCCTGGCATGAGGGGAGACTGGCAAAGGCCCGCAGCACAGCGCACATGCCAGGCAGTCCGCCCGCGCTGCCGGTGCTTTGCTTCTGCCTTGCAAGGCAAGGCAAGTAGAGCTGCGCTGTGCTACGCTGACATGTCTGCTCCTCCCTTCTGCCTCGCGCTTAGCTCGTCTGCAGGGTCTTCCGTCGCGCACCTTGCCAGGGCGAGCGGAATACTCCAGCAAAATCAACCAATCAGAAACTGCTTGAAAGGGAACTTTTGCCTTGACACCCCTTCTGCCTCCCTAAATATTTTGGTTGGAAAACTCAGCGTAGCAAACGTCACAGCCCTTCCAACGCCAACTGCGCAACACAAGGCAAAGGATTCACCAGGGTTCCACGCGCGCTGCGCGCAACACTTGGCCTCGGCTGCTGTGCAGCACCTGAGCCAGTCACCGCAACTCAAGCAGCGGCAGCTGTAGTAGCATTTTGCACATGCTGCGGCAGATGATCTTCCTCGCCAGGTCGAGGGACTCTTCACGCTGGAGGCCAGAAGAGGCTCAAAAAACGCCTACAACGCTGAAAAAAATGGCGACAGACAGGAGAAGGTCTGCTGCACCAACAAATTGGCGTAGCCTCATCTGCAGACTGAACTAAAGCAAGATTTGCCACGACATTTTTGCTCACCGTCCACGCACATGCTACATAATCTACATACCACATGCTTCCAAATGCTCCTCAGCAAGGGACTTTGCCTCGCACTCACTGCCAACTGCTTTACAGCGGCAACTTGGCCGAATGTTCCTGGAGCAGCATTCACTTTCTTTGCGTGGTAGCTGGTAGTCTCACTGGTTGCGGGGCCAAGGCTGTGGCAGAGGAAGCTGCTGCCAGAGCTCCCTGCTTGAGCTTGCTGACCTGCCTCCGCTTCCGTTTGCTCCGCCCCCTGCGTCTGCTCCTGCTCGCCCTGGTCACCATCTTCGTCCACCTCTTCGCCTGCATCTTCAGCCTCCTGCCTCTCCTCCATTTTCTCCTGCTTCTGCTCCTGGTTGGCTGTCATGTAAAGCACTGGCCAGAGCCCAACTGCATGCAGCAATTTCATGCCGCCACTGATGTCTATGAGGGCAGTCAATGGACAACACCTGAAGAAGAAAGTCCCCTCACGATAAGCCCTCAGCCCTCGGCCTCCTGCTCAGCCTGCTTGGCTGCCTCTTCCTGCGCACACTTGTTGCTTCATATGACTCATAGGCTACTTGCCCTGGGCTGTGCATGGGGGCAGGGTGTCTGTCACTGTCTCCTGTTTCTCTTCATTCTCCTGCTTGTCATCATAGTCACCGTTTAGCTCCAGGACCTGCGTACCAAACTCGGCCTCTGCACGCTTCTGCACACCAATCCCTTCAACCACCGCCTGATATTTGCAAATGCCAGGGCGGCCGGGCATCTGGTCGCAGGTCTCTTGTGGTTTACACATCTGCCAGGTCCATGTCAACTTTAAATCTTCCAAAACTTCCAAAGCTGTGCCAGTACGGGCCTCCTTGGTGGCACAGCTTTCTGCAAAAATGTCCTGCTGCCAAGGATGCGGCAAACGGGTGCATGCCCGCTGCGGAGGTGTCCTCTGGCTTCTGCCTCAAAGCCAGCTGATTCTTCGGTGCGGTGAGATGATCATCAACTCATATCAGGGCTGCACCTCGTCGATGCCTCAGCGCAGCACGTCTCGCGAAAGGCACCTCACAACAGCTTTGCTTTCATGAGCAGACCAGTATGCAAAAAGCCGCGCACGGCACGTCGTCTTCGTCTGCGCCTGCGAGACTAAAAATGGATATCACGCCAGGTACCTTCTCCGCTGAGCTCCCTGCCCAAAACATCCATGGAGGTGCTGTAACTTTGAAGGTGAAGGAGTGACCTAGTTGCAAAACAAAACCAGCAAATCCGAACACGCAGGACGGGAGGCAAAGAAGTGTTACCGGGAGCAAGACCGTTGGGATAGCATGCTGAATTTGCTGGAGCCTCTGCTGCAATAAATCAATGAAGGCTGTTGAGGTAGCAACAAATTTAGCACGATGCCTGGCCAGCGTCCGGCAGCTGCTGGAAAGAGAACGGGGAGCGTTGGAAAGGTAGGCCTTGCCAAGGGCAGGCAAGAGATGGCAAGAGGGAGGAGCACTCACTGCTCTTCAGCCGCATTCGGCATTCTGCCGCTAGGGCCGCTAGGGCACGAGGTATTGGAGGCAATGGAGGTGGTGGCGGAGGTGCACAGGGCTTTTTGCAGCCTGGGAATCAGCAGCCTCAACCTTTCATCCAGGCTCCTTCACTTCTTCACTGCAGCCAAGAAGCCGTCACCAGGTTCGCACTCCACAGGAAGCCCTGGCGGCCTGGTCTTGGCGTGGAGGATGGTGGGCAAGGCGTGGGTGCTGAGGCCCAGGCGGTGAGTCCCAGTTTAAATTCTTAACGTACGCCTCGTCTCTGATCTTTTTGTGCTCAAACAAGAAAAGGCAAATGCCGAGCCTTGAATCCTTTTTGTCGCCAATCCGCTTGGTTCCCATCAATGGCCACCAACTCATAACCTTGCAAGACCAATAAGTCATTGAACTTGCCACGCCGGTCTTGCAGGGCCTTCTTTCACACCCGCAGACTCTGCAGCTCCCTTGGCCTGACTGCAGAGCATCAGTTGTCCACGTCCGATTTTGATGCAGATTGAAGCCTTCTTCACAATCGGATGGTCTTCACCCCCAAAGTGCCGCCAGCCGCCAGTGCCAACTTTTCTGCGAACACATCAAGTGAGTAGTTTTGAGGAGATTGTTTTCGCGCTTGGACACGGACATGTCTTTTAGCACCTTCAGCTCGCACTTCTTTTCAGGATCTTCTTCCTCAAGCACTTCTACCGAAGCAGCGCTGAGAGGTAAAGCCTAGCCGCTAGCCACTCTGAGTGGCCTTCTCCTTGAGGCAATCCTTGTAATCGGTGTCCGGCGGATACTTGACCTCAGAGGATACGGAAGGTTCAGTACAAGTCGCAATTTGCTTCTCCGAGTTCCCATCTGTGACGGTGTTGAAGCATTTCCTTGGACGCATAATCGCCCAAAAAGTGTGCAACTCCGATGCCATGCTATCAGAGCCAATGGTCGATCTGTCAATATGCTCGCCCAGAGGACACTGAAAGCCTGACAGGTGACCAATTTAGCGAAGCCATTGCAACTGCATATGAAACAGTCAGCAGCCTGGCACGCAATGTCCCATGGCAGGGCAATAACCTCACCGACCGCGCCGCAAAACAAAGAATACACAGAACTCGATTTTTGCCTGGAAACCTAGTATTAAGCAGCTATGTGGTCATTGGAACATGCGGACACTGCGGGGAGCATCAAGGAGATGGTGCCATGCCCACATTTGCAGGATGGCGGCACTTTGTCGTGTCCACGCTTCCTTCAATGTCCTTCTTGAAAGACACATAATGCCTGCGACATCATAACACACAACGGATGCAGTTCTACGATTATGTCTCACATTACAGAGCCGCCTTCGCTTCGGTGCTGGCCGGCACTGCCACATGCTCAAGCCTGCAGCGGGACTCTTCACACGATGGCAAGTTTTAGCAGTTTAGCATTCGTTGCCCGTGTAAGTACGAGCTGATAAGCTTGGGACCTGAAAGCTCATCTGGGTCCAACTTGGTTGAATGTTTCCAAACCTCAGGCAGAAACAAAAACGACAGAGAATGGATCAAAACTTCACACAGATGAAGAAGCACTACCCTACACTTTGTGGGCATCTCCAGGTTTCAGACGTGGCTGACAAAGTTCCCCAGATCTGCAAAAATGCCATCATTGGGGGTGTCCGCAAAGAAAGAGGTCCTGGCGGAATCACTGGCAGCCCAGGCCCACAGGTGTGGAGTCAGAGCAAACAATTCAACACTTTGCCGAAGTCGCCACAACAAGTCTCTCGGCAGCACTTGGGCCATGTGCAGTCCAGCTGTGCGACACAAACACTTTACGCTACCGATTATAACAACCATATCGCGAATCTCGTTCCGGCTGCTTAATGTAGACATTTGACTTTAGTTGAAAGCATTGTGCGAGATTAAATGATGCTCATGGATTAAAAACAAATTCGATGTGGCATAACCCAACTAATTTTGCAAGCCAAGCATGGCTGCAACACGAATATTGTAGCATTATCACGGCCTCAGAAAGCAAACAGGGCCGCAATGGGCACTCCTTCCAATATGATTGTTGACGTTCCGCTTCTCCGCCTCATGTAAGATACGCAAATCCAGCCAAGCTGTTGGCAAATGCCCCGACTGCAGGTAAATCAGGTGCTTGCGTTCTTGCGATTTTTAGAACTTGCAACATCTTGTTTGCGTTCGTGCTATTTCTAGAACTCGCCACATCCTGAAATCAGGAAGTCGTATCCTGAATAAACGGAATGCAAAACGTCTGGGCACACGCAAGCATGACAACCGCGCAAGAACCCAAACTCATGTTGATCAGTGTGCATCACGTGTGCTCCCAAACACGGTGGCGACTATGAGGATTAATGGGGAAAAGAAGACCCGAACAGAACCGCAATCGTGCTCACGTTGCTAGCGTACAGGCAGGGCGCACGCATCATTTTCAGCACAATTTGGATGCCATTTGTGGTTGTGAACTAACAAAAACCATGAAAACCGTAGAACAGTATTCGGAGAAGCTAGTGACAGCTCGTGTACCAATTATTTACTTCGAGCATCCCCACCCTAAAGCCGTTATTGCACAAGAAGTGTAACGTTTCCCTGCCCCGCCTCAACTGTCTTCCTTGCAGCACTGCAAATGCGCTGCAAGAATATTGATACTTTGTTGTTGGGCACTCCAGGGATACTCTGCGCTTGGGCACTGCAGGTATACTTTTCGGTTGGGCCCTGCAGGGATATTTGGTGGTTGGACACTGCAGGGATAC